ATATTAGATGTAAATTGTTTGTTAAATCATCATCAAAACAAGAAGGCCAACACCCACGTCACGTGGGTCCCACCGACCCCCCTCCTCTCTTGCGTGATGCATCACGCGCGAGACAAACAGCGTTTTTGTTCAAGTAATGTCCATATTCATCTTATCTTCTAGATTTTAACACTCCCCCTTGGACATTACTTCGTGATGTCAATGTCTCGTTAAAAACATCGCTAGGAAAAAAACCCAGTGGGAAAAACTAGTCGAGGAAAAGAGTACATGGCATACATACATTATTTCTGTTACATCAGTTGTCTCGTTAAAAACATTTCGTTAAGAAAAACCATGTAGGACAAAAACTTAGTAAAGGAAAAAAAGAGTACAACTATAGATCTTCGGGATCCAAACTTGTGTTGCATTAGCTGCCTTGTTAAAAACCTTTGGCTAAGAAAACTCAGTGGGACAAAAACTTAGCTAAGGAAAAAAGAGTATAGCCACCGCTTTCGGGGTTTGATCTTCAGGATTATTCTAAAAAATAATTCGCTCCCCCTCAAGACAACAAACATTCAAATCTATGCATATTGTGGTCACCAAGCACGATACCATAAAATTAAAAGTTGATGTATTAAGGGATTTGGTGATCAAATCGTCTAGATTGTCATTACTTAGAGCGAAATTATCTATGTTAATTTCATTGTTATTTTCGAGCGCAAGTGGATAAAAATTTTCCACATCTCATTTATGCAACGCAAGTTATATTGTCCTTAGAAAAGACAGCGGGGGTAATATCCTTGTTTAATATGCCACACGATCATCGAATGTGTTTTATCAACGATTTGAACCTTACACGTTCGCATGTGGCACATATAGAGGAACAATCTCTGAGTGGTTTCAACTAGTAAACATTGTCTGCTTAATAGACCTCTAAGAAATAACAGTATCACTGCAGAGAAAAATAAAACTAGTCAGAGATTTGGTAATATGGGAATCAGTCATATAACCAATATCAGAATAGCCCACCAATGTCATATTTCAATTTCTTTTATAGAATAAACA